ACTAGAACAAAATAGGCTAATGAACTCCCAGCAAACAAGGTGACATGATGAACGATGCAGCTAGGAGCTAACGTTAGGCTAACTTTAGCTAATGTTAGCCAGAGATGTTAAAGATAACTTTATATTTCTTTCCAGCAAAGTGACAATATGTTGCCTCAAACACAATGTTGACTTACCTTAGAACAGATGTAGACATCATTGTTAATCTTATTCATGTTGGGTTGATGTTGTGGTCTACCGTTACCACACAACTTTATCCAAAGGAGACACTTTTCTCGGTTGAGATGTGGTTTAAGAAAGGGTAAAAAATAGACCCCGTCACCCAGCCTGTTAGGATACCTTGTGTCAGAGTTGCATGTACCCCATGCACACCGTTTGACCATTTTTAAACTTAAAATCTCAGAAAAAGCTCATAAAACCAAACAAAACTGGCTTTCTGTAATGCATTTCAATGAACATCCAGGCTGAGAATGTCCGAGTGTATGGGAATGGCTATACGCACTGTGATTGGCTCATCATGTTTGAGGGCGGGACTTAGCCATAGGTCAATTCTAACTGTTGTTGATCTATTTTTGTGCAGTTCAGCAACAAATATATTTTTCTAAATGAACGTTAAATTTCACAGTTGTAACTTTTGAGATAAACGCTTGTTAGCAATGCTAAATCAAAGTGAGATTGGACACCTGTCATGTCTGTGTCACCATTTCTGTCCTCTTTCCTAAACATTCAAATAGTGCTAGCAGCATGGTGCCAGGCAGACAATGTTGAGCGGTCAAGAAAAACACAATGATATTGTCTCATATTGATCGTATGTCCCTAAATTGAATATAATCGTAATCAAATATTCTATTGTTTTGCTTCACACTGTGCTATGCCATGCCACACCACACCAGGGTCATCCCTATGTTTCCAGGGTTCTATGTTTCCAGGGTTCTATGTTCCCCACTTACATAAAAAGGGTTCTATGTTTCCCGCTTGGTTGAGCAGGCAACATAGAACCCGGGAAACATAGAATCTTTTTTGTGTAAGCGGGGAACATAGAACCTTTTTTGCAGGGTTAAGTGGGGAACATAGAACCCGGGAAGCACAGAACCCTGGAAACATAGATACACTCCCCACCACACCACAGTGTATTTGTATCGTATCGTATCTAGCATGAGAAAACTTGTAATTTACCCCCCTCACAACGTGTCCTAACTGGATGCGAGCATTGCGTTACATCGAATGCTCTCTGTCCACACTGGATCCACAAAATATGGAACTCCGACATGTCATGTAAACAAACCATGTCACTAGCAGCTGTGCGCTCAGTAACGACTGAAAAGATGGCCGAGTATGTACTTCCTAATTATATTGTTGTAGTTCCTATACTATGTCATCTCCACTTTCTAAAACAAGCAAGCTTGCTAGCATCCCACACAAGTCCTACCAGAGACCATCTTCCTGACAATCTCCCTCCAAGCAGATGCCAACCTATTTATATTTTTGTAGTGAAAGAAGAAGGTATCCTGTAGGTAATTCCTCAGCTAAACCTCGTGAGTCAGCCATTCCTCGTCCATTGCAGTGCTTTCAATGCAAGCAACAGAATAAAAATTGAAATAGGGCGTCCACCAAAAGTTCAGCTCAAAACGCCATGCTACATCACGCCGTGTCGCTCGTGGGCAGTTAGGACAGTCAAACAGAAAACAATGCAATCAAACTGATTTAGTTATGACGCTTGCACGCATCACATCCAGTTAGTATGTGGTGTTACAGGGTAATGTAACATTGAATGTCTCATCATTTTCCAAGAGTCTTGAGCCAGGGCCTTGGCCTCCACCCAGCGACTACAGATGAAAATGAGCTTTTAACTATATCTAATACATGTAGCCTATTGTGCTTTGTCCCTGCTAAATAAACAACAAAATAAATAAATAAATAAAGGACCTGACTACGAGCAAGTGGAACAGGCTTTTTTAACAGAGGACTGTTCCACATGCAACAGTAGGAAAAGCACAGGTGTAAATAAAAAAATGGCTGAATTCCTTTCAGGGTCTGGGTATAGTTCATGTTGTCTCACCATCATGATTTACCGGGACACTTGCATAGAACTGAGCCATTGTTACATTTAAAGGCTCTCTAAGTTTTTGTCACATACAGCAAACATCTCCTCACAATCCGCTAGCTACATGTCCTCTGAATATGCTGTGAAAAAGTCTGGTCTCTGTAGGCAGCCCAGGCTCCGCAAATGGCAACAAAAACATTTTGGCTTAGGAAGACTTAGAGAGCCTTTAATGGTAACACCAGTCAAAATATCTGCTGTGAAACCAGCCTAAACAGGACTAAAGACAGAAAACAACAAATATAAATCCTGGTGAGACAGGCTATGCTGACACAACATTGCAATTGTATTGTTTTCACCTTCTGTGTGTGTGTGTGTGTAAGAGAAGAAAATTCACACTGTCCTATTACTTGCAATAAACTTTATTTAAATACACATGATTCTAAGGTGCTGGAAGGAGCCTCAAACTCCTACTCTGTTAGGAAAATTAAAATTGGAAAAATGATTTGGTTAATGAACAATGGGACAGTTTCAGCAGATATTTGTCTGGAGGGAACAATCTGTTCAAGTAAAAACAGATGATGCGGTAGAGTATACTCTTAAGTGACATGTTACACTAATGATTGGCTCACCACTGTGACTGAATAGCGACCTTTCCTGTATTTACGTCTGTCAATATTTTCTAGACTTCCTGGCATTTTTTTTTTAATGTCATTTTATTTTGTTAATGATTGTCATGTTAACAAATGTAATACAATTTTGAATTATGAAAAATTAAACACGTCTGAAGCACAATAATGAAACAAAGACATTACTTAAAACATTTATTTCATATCTTAAAATTACGGTCATTTACAGCATTACAAAACAGAGAAACTCAGGTCCAGAAAGGTCCAGTGTGTAGGATTTAGGGGCATATATTGGCAGATATGGAATATAATATAATATAATTAGTATGATTTCTTTATTGTATAACCACCTGAAAATAAGAGTTGCTGTGTTCCCTTTACCTCAGAATGAGCCGTTTATGTCTACATAGAGAGTGGGTCATCATTTATGGAAATCGCCAATGTGCAGAGCAGGAGTTACACTGATATGGAACTTGAAACTGCTTTATTCAGTGTTTCTAGCAGTTTAAATCACCTGGTCCATTTGTTTTGGAGAAGAGGGGTACTCTGTGAATAGCTTGGCTTTCGGTTAAGACCCTCTGAACGTCTGGATCTTATGTTATGTGAGGGAAAAAAGAGACCACACATTAGCATGTGTTGGATTAGCCATCCGCAGCTTGCCAAACTGCGTCTGAAATAAACATATTTGAAACATGAAAGTGTGTTATTCAGTGTTTTACTAGTTTAATTCAAAGGGTCAGTTTGTCTTGGAGAGGAAGAGTCCTCTATGGTTAATTCAGCTCATGGTAAAAAACCCCCTGAACGTCTGGATTAGAAAAAGGTGAGCACATATTAATTTATCAGAGTAAAGGGGTGAGCACACTATTGCATGTTGTGGGCGAGTCTCGAGAAGCCAGATAGTGCTGAAGATGCACTGATTTGAAACTATTCTATTCAGTGTTTTTAGTGATTCTAATTGCCTGGTCTGTTTGTTTTGGAGAAGAAGGGACGTCTGTGGATATTTCGGCTCCCAATAAAAACTTTCTGAATCACAAACACTCAAAGAATTCTCGCCAGGACAAGTTTCAGCTGGTTGCAATCTGCAATTCATGGCTAGACGCCACCAAATTCCCCTAAATCGTACACATTTCACCTCAGTGCTATTTTTGACCGCTATTTTACTTTACTTTTACTCACATTTTAGTCGTTTTCATCCTTCATAGTTTTAGCCTAGTTTTAGTCAACAAAAATTCAAAACATTTTAGTCAACTTTTAGCCATTATGTTTTCTATGTTGTTTTTTTTTTAATCTTTAAACTAATCCAATGAGGCTAATCCATGTATCAGAAATCAGAATTAAGGTAACGTATAAAAAATTTATATTAGACATTTTTTTCTACAACTACAAATAATTTCTGCACATTTACAAGCTGTCATTTCTCCAACAGTGTTTTACAGGTTTAAGGGGTGATTTACGAGCACAATCTTACTGATCATCATTTGAAAAGCTCAACATCTCTCTAGTTATGCTCTCAAATCTTTGACACCACAAACAACTAATCTGAGACAACTAAGATTTGTACCCACATTCATTGTAAACTCTGACTTATCCATCTCACTGTTAACAAACAGAAAAACATTTAAAACCTTAATTCTTACTGTGTAATATGCATTTCCCCAAGCAGTTTTTGTTTTGTTGGGTCATATTATTTTTCAGTGATTTTATTATTTCATTATGCTGTTAATACAAAAATTGTCAATAAAGATTTAAGTGAGAAAAAAAAACCCAAACTCAAGTCTTTCTTAATCTGCAATATAATAGTCTAGTCTAATTATCAAGACCTATTTTTTAGCTTGTCTTGTTTTGGTCATGGAAAAAAGGCTGTTGACGAAAAATGTATGTCATTTTTCCTTTATCAAATTAACACTGTTTCACCTTTAAATGACTAATAAGGCATCCCTTCTTGGTGAATGTAATGCTGTAACAGCTATCCCATTGTTACAACCATACCTGGTCACTCCTACATTTTGGCAGTTTAGCAAATTTGAAATCAGTATTATGAGTTGTTTGCTATGTCATAATTATGACACACTGAGTATATAAATATTTTTATCCTAACCACTCCTAATTTCTTGCCTTCAAGCCCATTGCTCGTCATTCTGTAAATAGAGGACTGGATGTGTGATTTGATTTTAGGCACCATTTCCTCATTATTGATATTCCTGTTTAAAATATGTGCGGGTGAGCTTGATGCAGCTGAATGAGTGTGTCCTGGCCTGGGTGAGAACTCCAGTCTCGACAGTCACAGTGTAAATCGTGTCTCTTTAACTGAGGTATTCTCAGGACGGGGAGGGGGGGTGGATGGGTTCATCGGGTTCATGTAGTATTGGACACCTCCTCCCATTTCAGGTTGGCTGCTTCCCTGGTTCCCTCGGTAAAAGGGGTAGCTGTGAGGCAAGTAGGTGATGGAAAATGGCATGGAAGTTTGCAGTGGAAACGGCTAAATAGTCGAGCTTGACCTTTTTTCGGGACACAGAAACTCGATCAGCTGGTGACTCCAAACTAGCTGCCATTTTCAGGTCATTCGAGGCATCTCGCTCTAACTTGTTTGTAGCCAGCTGAATGAATAAGCCTGCTTTATTCGTCTATTAGTCGCCCACTGGGATGGGGGAATCGCTTTGTCCTGTGCTGTCTAGTGGTGGAATATAAATCATGATGGCTGATGGATGTTGCAGAGGGATGGAAAGAGGCAGGGGTAAGATTGCATCAGATTCTTTACCAAGACCCACATATCCTCAGCAATATGTCCAGACCGGTTCACAGCAGCAGGGCAATGACATCCAGGAGTTAGCCTCAAAACGCGTCGACATCCAGAAGAAACGCTTCTATCTGGATGTCAAGCAGAGTGTTCGCGGACGCTTCCTCAAAATAGCAGAGGTATGGATCGGAAGAGGCCGTCATGATAACATCAGGAAGAGCAAGCTGACGCTGTCTATGTCGATGGCCCCCGCTCTCCGCTACTGCCTGGGAGACTTCATAGATTATTATGCCCGTATCGGACTGCGGGGGGGCCTCGCGCCTCCGCAGCTCGAGGAGCACAGCAACAACGGCCAGGGCCGCGCGCACGACTCCCGCAGGAGAACGCAGGAGCAGCACGCGGCGCTGTCTCCAACCGGCTCGGCGGTGTCCGACGACCATGCCCACCGCGTCCTCAAGAGCGAATTCATCGAGAGAGACAACAGAAAGTATTTCCTGGACCTGAAAGAGAATCAGAGAGGTCGCTTCCTCCGCATACGACAGACTGTCAGCAAAGGACACGGCACAATGGGCTACTACGGCCAGGGCATCGAGCAGACCATCGTGCTGCCAGCGCAGGGGCTCATCGAGTTCAGAGACGCACTGTCACAGCTGATTGAAGACTACGGCGACGAGGAGAGCGACGACCGCGGCCGAACGGGATCCAGGAATCACGACAACAATCCCGAGCTTCCAGAGGCTGCGTCTTTTCGGGTGGACAACAAGAGGTTTTACTTTGACGTCGGGTCTAACCGGTATGGTGTCTTTTTAAAAATAAGTGAGGTTCGGCAGCCGTATAGAAACACCATCACAGTTCCCCTAAAAGCCTGGGCTAGATTTGGAGAAAATTTCATCAGGTACGAAGAAGAGATGAGACGAATTTTCTCCTGTCACAAAGAGAAGAGGATAGACACACGGCAGGACAGCGAGGAGCAGGAGGACTGACATTGGCAGTAGGCTGTGTCTGTGCATTTGCATGTATTCTAGGGACTCAGTTAATGAAATATCCAGACATGACAGTAACCTTAAACAACCCTCTATGCTACTGTATGTGTCCCTACGATAGCCTACTACAGGATGCAGTGTCCCACCTTAACTTTTTGGCTCATCTACCAAGGGCTGGTGAAGTACAAATTGTAACCTGCCAAGAAGTCATTCATTCATAGCCCAATGCCTATGTCTGTTTCAGTGAAATATGTCAACTATTCATTTTCCAGTCTCTTCATTTCTCAGTGCTATTTAATGCACTTTAGTTACTTAGCCAGAGGCAGCCCAAGACTATTTGGGACCCTGAGCAGAACTGTATATTTCCCCTACCCCTCCCCTTTAAAATGAAGGAGTGTGCTGTAAATTACAGCACTGTTTAGTTATAAGGGACTTTTCTTTACTTATCAGAGAAAGGGGTTGGCTGGGGCATGACTTCAGGTTTTTTTTTTTTTTTCACCCTTTCCTAAAGCTACAAAGATTTTTCCTTGAGGCTCTGTAAGTGACTTGGGGAAAATGCATGACCCCTCCTCCACCATAAATTCATTACTAGATATTTAAAACTTACCATTTGATGTTTGAAAGTTAAAAGTTAAAATCCTGGAATTGGGGGAAAAAAAACTCAGTTTTTTTCACTTTTGTTGTTTATGCTAGGTAGTTCATGCAGTCAGTTTATTTTTGGCCAAATTTTAAATGATATAGAATAAAGTCATTTTGATGAAATATCTCTATATTAAGTTCAGATTTGGTAATATGTCACACATGATGTAAATCATGAAAATTTGAAAATTTAAGGATAATTTCTGTTTTTACAGTTTCTGGCTATGATACATGGTGTAATTTTGGCAATTTTTAAAAAAAGAAAACATGCACTTTTTTTTTTAAAAGGTCTGCAGTAAAAGAAATACAAAACAAATTTACATACAAATTTGTATGCCCCTCCCCTAAGCCACAATAATAAACATAAATCCCTTTCCAGTGCTTAAAAAATATTTAACATGCCTCCCACTTTTTGCACCACCCCTCCCACTTCATAAGTAATGAACAGTCCCTAAGTGTTGATAGAATGTGGTACCTGCTATACCACTTTAATATTTAGCCCCAAAGCATATTGATAATCAGTTTTATGGCGTGCAAGTGGGCAGAAAAACTGTCTACCACAACTGATCACTGAGAGACAAAAAATGTAACTTATATAAAATGAATTAACTTAAAATGTGTTCATTATATATTGTGCAAAAACATAGAACATTTTAGTAATTACGTTTACATTTAAATTGCAACTATATTAAAAAAACAAACAAACAGAGGACCTCACATGTGGAAGTTGGATGTTTGGGGGGCCCCCCTGCTGGCCATTAAGCCCCAAGCAGGAACTTGCTGTTTGTGCAACACACAGTGGCTGTATCGACTGGTGCAGGCTTACATAGAAAATAATAGACACTGGTGTGTGTTGCCCTTCAGTGGACTCCAGCTACCGCTGTTTCCTATACTGGGAGTTTAACATTAGATAGTTGCCACATTTTGAATAATACTGCAGGACGTGCGCACACACAGACACAGACGCGCACACACACACACACACACACACACACATGCAGTAGATGTCAGCATGTAGAGATTAGGCTTTCACCTCAACAATAACTCTGTGGCAAAATGAATGCAGGGTTCCACATTCATTTCAATGACCCAACTTTTCCTGCAGTGCAGTGCAAATTGAGTGTGTGCAAGTGACCAAACCAGGTGGAACACCTTGCAGTGTGTAAGATGTAGCAATGTGCCAATTTGCTGCTTACCTCGATGGCATCGAGACAAGGGGAGAAATGAAAGTGGCATAGAGTCCAGCCTCAGAGGAGAACCAGGACAGACAGTGCTGTGTATGGTGGGCTGGTTTTTGATAAACCTTCACACTGTGACAACACAATAACACAGCCCCTTGCGCTGTTCTGCTGTAGAGCTATTGTGAGTGAGAAAGCACCAAACAGTTTACGATGCTTAACAAAGCTTGCAAAGGAGACAAAAATGAATCAAAAGATTTATGAGTTAGTGCAATACATCTCCTTTCTGAAACTATCCAACACTGGCACTTAGTCCACAAACATGTTACAGTGTTTGTCATATTTGTGTTTCCCTGAGCTGAGTCACATTCAGATACTAATTTTTGATCTTTTACTTGCTTTGAACAAACACTTGAAAAATAATTGACTTGTGACATGTGCTGCCAGAATAGTTCACTGTCTGAATATATATTTGAAATATGTCTCTTCTCACCAACCAAAAACAACCCGGTCTTGTTCCGAAGTCGTCAGATACTGCCGCTTGGTCATTGATTTCTGCATCACGCACAAATGAAAAACAGACATCCTTTCGTGGCAATATGATATGCTGTTGGGAGGCATCAGTTGATAACGCCATCGGATGGCGTTAGTTTGAAACGCCACCGGACTACAACATAATTTAAGGACCTGGAAGGTCCCTTAAAGGGCAGATAGGACGGGTGTTAGATGGGTCAAACAGCACCGGACTTTCATCCAGAAGGCCGGTGTTTGCTTCCCCTATGAATGTTGAGCCAAACCATGACGTTTTTATTAAACCTAACCACATGCATTTGTTGCACAATGAAATAAACGTAAATGTGTGGTGTTTTACCATAGAGTTCTCAATGGGCCGAAAAGATTACAACCTGAACCTGGCCGACCCATTTGAGTTAAAGCCTGAACCTGGCCCATCCAAGATCATCATATAAAATACTGAGCGCGACCCCACAAAAAGCTGTAGATGGCTTCTAACACCACAGCGGCTGTGTGGTAACGGAAGCCACATACATCTCCATCTGAAGATGGACCAGCTCAATAGTTCACTGACTCTCCACAGTCAGTAAGTTTACATGACATTAGAGAAAATAAATTTATTGTGTTTGTTCGACTAAAACCAGACTTTTAAAATAAACGTAAACATGTTAGTATGACTGAAATTGTACTAAATCGTATTTCTCAAAGTCAGACTAACACAACCAGATAATGCGATTGGGAGTGGAATTACTCCTGCATGTATACAGTCAATCAGACCCAAACTGGCCTTGGCACTCTGTGCATGCTCCACAGTTTGCGCCCTGAGCTTTGACCTGGAAGTCGAGTAGCATTAAATGCGTAACAGGAGAAGAAGCTGGTAACAACTTGGAGAAATCTGCATCCAGAGCTGTGCATTTTTTGACAGAGGAGGAGACACAGTTCATGCTGTATCAGCTGAAAGAAGCTTGATTGTTTGGTGTGTGGCGTAATTGGTTGACTGAAAAATGTGCAATACTAACAAGCTGAAAGGGGGCATATCGCCATCTATTGTAATAGAGTCAGACATACTTCAGTCCATAAACTGATTCCCCTCCCATGCTTGTATATTGGGACAAGGACTGTAGTCTAATTAAATGGCCTAATCCAGCTATAACCGTTGCTCCACCAAACTGTGCATGTAAATTTACTGACTGTATTCCTGTTAGAGAAGCTCCCTGCTCCAGCTGGGAGAAAGGACAAAGAGCCCAGCATGGAGCCTTGCTGCCCCCTCTCTTCTTTCTGCCTGCAGAACAAGTACTGCGAAAGAAATGGGAGATGATATCAATCAGTCACTCAATATATAATATTTGTTGGATTTACATTTTAAATAAATAATTACTAAATAAGTTAAGCACAGAGGGCTCACAGGTTTCATTTATTTATTATTTAAAAAATAAAAAAGGCTGGAGCCCTACTTGGCTAAGCCGCTCAGTACTAATTTTCAGCTCTAACCCTGTCCGATCCATCAGATTTTTGGGGACCCGTCGGGCTCGGGTTGAGACTGAGAACTCTATTTTATTGTTGTTGAACATTTATCTTTAAAAAGACTGTAAAAGTAGCAAGTACATTTCCTGTGAAAATAGAAGTGTATTTTAAAAACACACAATGCATGTTACAGGTGTAAATTGACACAGCATCCCAGAACATCAACAACAGACGCACCCAGGATACCTAGCGCGTAATATATAGACATGAAAGTCCACTGACCAAGCGGCGATGTGTGACAAGCTGGGAGTGAGAATGTGTTGCCAAAAACCCCGTTCAGGCAGGTAAAAGCAAACAGACAGCGACTGCTGTCTGTAAACACTTATGTAGATCTCATTATTCTTAAGGAAAAATGTGTTGCTGTTGTTGTTACATTATTTATACTCTATGGCAATTATAGCCCAACAGCTCACATTTACACACTTTAGTTTTTCTGAAGGAAAGGTATTTTACATGTGTTCTGCTGAACGCTCAAGATCATATGCAGCTTGTCTTCAGTGGCTACATGGCGACATTTGGCAGAGCTCACAGTGCAATACACAATCATGAAAGACCTGAGGCATAAATGATGTCCCAGGTTGCAGTAATGCCAGTATAGACAGCTAGACTGTTAGATGGAAGTGTATGTGTTCTCTCCAGTGAATTTCAGACAGAAACATGCAGCTGAAACACAGCCATCACTGACAGACAAACAAGAAGCAGACCTAAACTGGCTCTGCACTGGCACTTGGAGGAACAGGGTTCCATCTTTCCATTTGTGCACCATTCTTTGCCACTTTGAAACAATTATTAATTTCTTCCCCCATACCAGTTGTGAACAGTTCACCAAAGAGGAACTTCCTTCTCAGATATTTTTGGCAGCACGAGGAGGTAGTATCTTCAGTGAAAAAAAAAGAAGAAGAAAAGAAATAGAACAAAGTCTGAAGAAATATATTTTTTCTGCTTTTTTTTATCCTATCCTTTTATCCTATATGCCTTTTTTTATCATGTCATGAGCCCTGAGATTTATCTTGCCACCCTGTGGGGTCCGACCCCAAGGTTCTGAACCACTGATGTAGACAGTCCCAGTGCCAGTTGTATAGTGATGCCTTTAAAACTCTTATGGATACTTGAAACATTGAGAATTATGATTTATATTATTTAACTTCATGCCCCTTACAATACTAGTCACTGATAATATTTGAAATGAGGCATCAAAATGAGTTCTTTCCAAAATCTACTGCTTCATATGTAGGAAAAATAATTGATTTGATTTTGGAATATGTGGTGCTATGGAAATGTCTTCATACATTTTCTTTTTGTCATATAAAGTTGTTGATGTTAGATCTAGGACAGCTGAGATCTACAGCTCTCTGATGACATAAAGGTGAAGGTAGAAAGCGGACAGCTCAGTGCTCATCGACACACTGGGTATAAAGATGAATGGTAGCATAGAAAGGGCTCAACACAACATCCTGCCTTTAAACCATACCAATGTGCTCATTTCTGCAGAACCTTGTATTTTAGTTTTCCCTACTATCTACTGATAAGGAAATGGCAAAGCTGTCTTAAAGTGTCCATGTCTTACCTGTGTTTTCTTTTTGGCTGTGTGTCTCTAATAATCCATGAAGTGCTGCTTCTCCATTAGAGCTTGAATGGCAGTTTGCTGTACATTGAGCGCTGTGTATTGTGTATGTGACCTGCACAAAAAAAGAGCTGCTCACTAGTGACAAAGAGTCCGATTCAGACTTTGACTTTGACACAACATATGACTACAGTTACTGCAACTACAGTCTGTAAGGTCAGACACTGTGCCAACTAAAATCAAGACCTTACAACTTTTTTTTCTGATGTAAAAATTCCTCACTGAGGAAACACTGGGAATGGATTTACCTGAACTAATCCAGACTCACATGGCTAACTCAATATAATAAACATTTCCAAGGCATAAATTCCATCAGTACAATAGAGTCATGTTATACTAACCACTCTTAACACAAATACTCTTCTTCTTCGCTAATGTGTTGCTGTCACTTCTGCTTTGCTGTTGTTTTGTTCACTGTTAAGCTAGTGTAGCTGAATCTCAATTCATTTCCTGCAGAAGTTTCAATGAAAACAGTATTTCTGTTGCAAAAGAGAAACTTAAGAACAGCAGACAATTCAGTTTGTGTTGACAGAAAATTAAGATGAGCATCTACTACAGTATCTGGTAAAATATTCCATTAACAAGGACATTAGAAATAATGGCATGTCTCAGAAATACCTGCAGTATAGGTAAATACAGTGTACTATTTGAGAATTGACAGCATATATAAAATATAGTTCCTATTATACTAAAGAATCATAAAGTGCAACAGCTGCTAATGGTTGGATGCTAGGAGAATGTTAGGACTTCTAACACTTAAGTGTATTCTCTTTTAAACTATCATGTAAGAAATCAGATTGCCAGCAGATGTTGATGTTGAGGTAAACTGCACCTTCACCATCCTGCAGACAGATTGCTGTGGAGAGGTGTCTTAGTGCCTGCTGCAGTTTTATGAAGACAGACTGGCACCAAAATGCCCAGTCACTTGTGCCTGCTGCAGTATTTGGCAAAGACAGTTCCACAGAGGTAGATGTGTCTCAATATTATTTGTGTGAACAGATTAACAATCTATGTGTTAATGTGTCTTCTGTAAATATAAAACATCAGCAAACACAAAAATGATTTGTAAACTCAAAAAACTACACTGTAACCCCCAATTTGCTCACTCAACTTAAAAATGTAGTGGCTTGAACTGAAAATGTTGTGTCACATGACCCTTGTCTGACAGGAATTTTATGTCAGTTCAATGTAACTTTTTTTGTTGTTTGAGTATTTCATTTTATGTCATATGAACACAAAAGCACTGAGTAAAAATCTTTATAACAATTTTTTAATATTGCATTTAACTATAAAAATATATGTTAAGTGCACAATGATAGTGTTTATGGGCATTGAACTAATTGGCTTTATAACTTGTAGTCAAATTAACTCAAAAATTGTTGACTTATAAAAAAATGCTGTCAACCTCACAAGGGTTTTTGTGTCAAGTGAACAAAAAGTTACGTCATTTTGACAATTCGGAGCATTTGACTTTTCATTAAAAATTTGTGTCATGGATGGATTGGGGTTTACAGTGTATTTGGCAAATATAAAAAGGATCTGCTATCAATATATTCCAAAATTAAAAAAACATATTTGTGAATACTTGTAATTAACTTTAAATAAAAACACATACACATTAAATAAAAACACATTTATTGATATCTTCCTAACATTTACAACTTTCCAACAGATATTTTTGAATCTGTTTTTTACTTGTGAATCTCAATTCTATGCTTGCAGATTTGGATTTTATGCACACTGAGGCTTTGTAAATGTATGGAGTTTGTTTGTGTATTTGCAGATGTTTAATATTTGCAAAATACTTTTGTGAGTTTGCAAATCGTTTTTTGTATTTGTAGAAGCTGTTTTATTATTACTGATTACACATCCACCAAACAGATTGTAGATCTTCTTACACAAATTATTTTTGAGACAATTCCATCTCTATATTTGCAGTGTTTGCAGATCCGTGTGATATTTGCAAAATAGTTTTTTGAATTTATTAATTCTTTATTGCTTTTGTGGGAGGTGTTTTAAACTTTAAACACAGAGGTTGTTGATCAGTTCACAAAGATAATATTGACTGAAATCTATCTCCATATGTCTGAGTTGGGCCCTTTGTCTCAGTGGAGCTCTACAGCATTGACCATGTCAACTCCAACTTTAATAGAGTTGAGATGTCATAAAGTAACCGGTATTGGTGTAGGAGGGGGAAAAAAATGCAAAAACTTCATAAAAATCAGTGTTGAAATATTTGTACTGGTGGCAGCCAATTCTTGTGATGCCTTTAGGTGCATGAAAAGCACAGGACTAGTTGGATTTGGTGTGTTTGTTGTACTGTCTGGTGTAGGGCATGAACTTTAATGATTCAGTGAGTTGTTTGTATTTATGAATGGCTTAGTTATATAAAGCAGTGTAGGAAGTATAATTCAAAGCACAATTTATTTTAGAAATGATGTGGAATTATAATATATATTCAATTCTTTACATTGATTTGAGTCAGCATTGAT